TCTGGGCAGATAGTTGCCTTCCTGAACAGTAGGGTCCAGCACCAGGCGGGAGACCTTTCTTACACATCTCCGATGGTCATGAAAGTGTAGCCCCTTAACTAAATCGAATCCTTCCTGCAGTGATTCTCATCACCACTGCCGTCTTGGAGGACAAGTCTGCTAAGTCCCTGCTTCCTGGGGACAGTGTACTTCCTTTTATTTGGCCCCACAGTTAAAGGGCTCAAGCTGAAAGAGACACGAGCGCATCTCCCGTCTGTTCGCTCCAGGGTGAGCGTGTCAGGACCGCCGCATTATTGGATTGGTGGGGACTCCGCAGCCAGCAGTCCTTGATTTTGTAGCTTCACTCTTCCTGGGCTGGATTATACAATGCTTGGCTGTGCTCTCTTGGATCCCTGTTTATTGTGATTCTGCCCGAACTAAACACACACAAGCCAGGAGCACTTCGGGGCTGGCAGGGAAAGTGTTTGAACATCATTTCCATTGTGTGTCCTTTCTCCTTTCCCACTGGCACTGTGTAAATACATGGGCACCCTGCAATGCCCTTGCTCCAAAAAGATAATAAATTGTGTCAATCCCAACTTTCAAACCAATGCAAGACCAGTGTATTCATCTCTTTCCCGTTGTTGGATGAAATATTTGATGCCCACAGCTTAAAGGAGAAGAGGCTCCTGGTTTGTAGAGGACTCCGCCCATGGTTACTGGCTCCAAGGAGGAAACAGCATGGCAGAGGAAGGGTCCTTACCCCAAGGCGCCAAGAAGCAGAGCACACCCCAGGGACCCCAGCTCCAAACGGGCCCCACCTTCTAACGGCACATCCCGCTGCCAGACTCGTCATACAGCACCCCATGGTCCAGTCACCTTCCAGACTCGTGAGACTGAGGAACATTTTTATCTGCATTCTTGCATGCTTTTCTATCTCCATCTAGCCCAGCATGCCTCATTTTCAAATGTGTCTGTCTTCCAAATATGTCTTTGTGTTTTCAGACTTCTCCTTTTTAGTACTTCTGTCGGGGCTGGTTTATCAGAAGTTGGTCATGAAGAAACCTAATGGGTGTAGGACCTGGAAAGAGCTCTGGGAGTGGGCAGCAGCTTCTGGGTCTTCCTCTTCCGCCTGTCTAGGGAAGTCAGTATACTCCCCGTCATTCACTCCTGCTGGAAGAATGACCATCCCAAAAGAAGCACAAAGAGTTCCAGGCAAGTTTTCTCTCTCGGCTGGGTGGTCACCGTCACACACTCCTGACTCTGTGGAGGCCCAGGAGCCCTGAGCAAGGGAAGCCAAAGGAACACACACACCTACGCATCCGCACGCATCTCTCCTCTCTGAGTCCTCCACCTCCTGAGGCTCGGCTCTGTCTGCAGTATCTGTGGCTTCATTTTTCACCCCACTTCTGATGGAACGGTTGGTGCATAGCAGCAGCACTCAAGAAAACTTTGGCGGATGTGCAAACACAAGCAAAACAAGATGGCGGCCCCGTTCTAGGATGGCAATGGTTTTGAGTTGGAGGTATCAGAATGCACTCAGAATAAGTACAGAGCTGTGTCTAATCACCTGGGCAGCAAGCGGTGACACCTACTTCACGAGTGACAAGTACACCTAGTATTCAGATCTTAGTTTCTAGATGCCATTTTCCACTAAAGAGAACCAAAGCCAATGATGGGGCTTGGGCGCGAACAGTGTCACGTCAGCGGAGACTGGGGCATCTTGTTTTGCCAGAAGTAAGGAAACACCCAGAGACTGATATGGAGGCGTCAGAGGAACATGGGACACACACACACACACACACACACACACACACACACACACGGCTCCCCCTGGACAAATTGGAAGGTTTTGGGTATTAAAAGAAATAATGATAAAATGAATTATAATACCTCAAGTTAAAAAGAACCCAGGAGTCCATGGCAACGCTTTAGCATGGAAGGGGTGCTCTTCTGCACAAAGAATGGCTGTTAATGAAGTAAGGTGGTAGTTCTGGAAAATTCACCACTGTATAGCCACCCTTGTGGTTTGATTGATTCAGACCAATCAGATAATGGGTGTTACATCCACTGGAAGAAATGTAGGAACGCCCAATACTCAGTGCCCAAATACCACCCTGCAGCTTGCTGTGAATCACAGAGTGTGAAATGTGTCTTGCAAAGGAGACCTTAGAGGCTGCAACGTTACCAAAGATCAAACTTGGCACCCAGTAGTACTTGAGTCACAGTCTGAGCTCTGGTGCCCCCTGGTGGTGCTGGTAGGAAGGACTCGACATCGTCTCCAATCCCCCAAATGAATGCTGAACTTGAATCCAAACTTTAGCAAACAATTGAGTAAATTGATATCATGGGTTTTTTCTATAAAGACAACCGGAGTGACTTGAAAATTGCAATACCAATGTCAAAACAATCCAAAGGCATGAGGATCCTTCAAATTGAAGAGAAGCAAAGGAACATGACAAGTAAATGCAGCGTGTGATTTTTGTCTTTGTTTTGCTTTGATTGTTTGAGACAGAGGCTCACTTTGTAGCCCAGGCTGGCTGTGTACTCACGGCAGTCCTCCTGCTTCAGCCTCCCAAGTGCTGGAATTAGAGGTGTGCACCACCATGCCTGGCTTTGCGATGTGTGGTTCTTGATGGGACCTTGTATTGGACACAGAATAGTTATAAAGGACATTCTGGGTTAGCTGGGATATTTGTACTTAGCCTTTAGACTTGATAAGATTGTATTTATATTGTATGTTGAAAATTGTAATTATGTACAGAACATATTCTTGTTCAGAGATGTGTGCTGAAGTGTCTAGGGGTGGGATGCCATCATGTACCATTTACTTGCAAATGGTTCAGCAAAAAGTGAAGAGTGCAGCCGGGCGTGGTGGCGCACGCCTGTAATCCCAGCACTCAGGAGGCCGAGGCAGGAGGATCGCTGTGAGTTCGAGACCAGCCTGGGCTACAGAGTGAGTTCCAGGTCAGTCTCAACTACATGGTGAGACCCTGTCTCAAACCCCCCCCAAAAAAAAGAGCGTGTGTGTTGGGAGAGAGGAACGAATAAACAAGTGTGACACGTATTAAAATTCTAGGCATCTGTGTTTTATTTTCAAAGTGATATACTGTATAGACATTCACATATAGAGAACAAAGAAAGAGCAGAGAAAGGGAGGGGAGGGAAGGAGGGCGGACGCCAAGCCAAGCTCCAGCCCTCAGCTGTGGGAGAGAGAAAGACGAGGCACATAGCGCCGCCTAGTGGCCAGATGGCGGCCCCTTGTAGTTGCTGCCAATTTGGAAGGCCAACTTATCCCACATTATTGGTACCTTTCCCGCAGTCCCTGTGGGTTCCTACATTTTCCCATTTGCGAAGCACTAATTTCTGTTTATATTTCTGCTCCTCTAATTTTCCGTTATGGATTTCCACTTGCTTTGGAGAAACAAGCCAAAAAGCAGATTTCCTCTCCCCAGAAACCTAATTGAGCCCAAATTCTTTGATAATCAAGAAGGAAGGAAAAAGTCCCGCTCATATGTATTTAGCCAGATCTCTTTTGCTGCTTCTACCCCAGAAAACCACTGGGCTTTCTGACTTCCTCCTGTGGAAATAAATGGACTAACTGAATAATAAAGCATTTATTCTGGGCTTACCGGGGGAAGAAGAGTTGGCCGCTGTCACCTGCATGTGGAGAGACTCACAGCATCAGAGGGATGGGACAGCTTTAGAATGAGGAAGGGGAGGCTTCGGTGGTCCTGGTAGGAGGCCGTCGGCCTGGGAAGCTGGAGCACCTAAGGAATTGGCCAAGGGTCACAGTTCGCTTTCCCTGGTTGTCCTCAGTTGGAAGTAGGGGTGACACTTCCAGAAGCTGCCAGTTCAGAACAGAGTCCTGGCCGGATGGGGCTGATTGTTACAGCAGTTGTTGTTTAGCTCCCTGAATTGTTAGTACAGGTTACTGTCTACCCTTTTGCATGTCTGGCAGAAGACTGGCTGCCTGGGCTATTTTATTACAGCTATAGGAGCTGGTTTCCTAGCCAGGTTGCTGCAGGCTGTGGGTCAGATGTCTGCTTTTCTATATGGCGTCGTTACAGTCGAATGGACCCAAAATAGCCCAGGTTCTTGTTCATGACAAGGAATGGCCAAGTGTACACCTTGTAGTAAGTAGCTACATTTACTGAAGATCACAGGACGATAGCAGCAGGGACAGGCAGAAGGGCAAACGGAAAAAGGAAGAAGAGGAACCCTCGATAACTCAGGCTTCCAGTATTTAAGGGGTCAGACACCCACGGCTCCTGGTGCCTCCTGTTCCGTCTCTCACTGGTGTTGATCTGCCTCCTTGCGCATCTTGACCTCCTGAGCTTTAACATGATGATCACGAGGGTGGTGCTGTGTCTGTAGTTGAACGAAGAGCTCCCTCTACGCCCCTGTTTCTAATTGCACTAGTGTGGCCACTCTGTGTATGTGTATCCAGTCACTTACTCTGGAAGCAGCCTGTTCACAAAGCTTGCAGTGTGGCCTGCGCAGTACAGGTGGAGAGGACAGCTGCTCTAGCCCAGAAAGGGTGGCTCTGAAAAGAGGTCACAGACCGGATGTGCATCCTCCGTCTTCATGCCCAGCCTGGGAGAGACTCCTCCAAACTTCAGTGCGCCCCTCTTTCTTACCTGGGTGATACCTGCTGCACTCCCCTCCCTTGCATTTGAAGGGTTGGCTCTGAGCCCACCTGCGCCCTCTGGAGGTGGGAGGGTGACTTGCTCTCCAAACTTCAGTGCGCCCCTCTTTCTTACCTGGGTGATACCTGCTGCACTCCCCTCCCTTGCGAGGACCAGCATTTGAAGGGTTGGCTCTGAGCCCACCTGCGCCCTCTGGAGGTGGGAGGGTGACTTGATGGAGCCATGCAGAGATCCTCATGATACTCAGGTGGATGGCAGGGTAGGTGGGTGCAGCCTGGGGAGGCGGGCACTGGGGAGACCGTGTGAACTCGGCCCCAGCATCTCACATAGGCTTACCGTTCATGTGTTCACTTCCTTTTTCTCTACCGTCAGCCACTTCGCGTGAAATGGTCCCATCTCAGATTGCCCTGGGTGAATCTCGACTGGTTCATAGACATCTCCTGCCAGATCACTGAGCTCGATCTTTCTGCCAATTGCCTGGCTTCCCTCCCCTCCATCATCCCCTGGGGACTCATCAACCTCCAGAAGCTGAACCTGTCAGACAACCACCTGGGAGAGCTGCCCAGCGTGCAGTCCTCAGACGGGATCATCTGCTCCAGGTGGGCCCCCGGTGCGCCCCAGTCACCGCCACTGACCTCCTGCATGAGCTCCTGGGTCTGTGGTTTTGAAACAAGAGTTCTGGCTAAAATGTGAGAAGGCAGATCTGCCAGCTCCTGTGCGAGCTCTCAGGATCAAAGGGGCGAGGCCCTACCCTCTTTCTGGTGAACTCAGAACTCAGAGAAGAGTTTGGCCAAGGCTGCACAGCATACTAAGTGCTTGGCCTTTAAGGTGCCTGTCTTGATCTTGTTCGGGAATCAGAGGAGGGTGGCAAGAGTGTCCTGGGCTGGTAGAAACCTTTTACTGCACCCCCATAGACAGTGGGAAGGGGCTGGGTGAAAGGGTCCGCTCTGTGGGACTCTGGCAGCATGGAGAGAGTGTGGGCCCTGTCTGCTTTCTCAGGTAGCATTGGGAGAGGGCTGAACCTTCTGCCCAAAGCTGCGTGGGAAGGAAGGGACCCACTTGATGGATCCCTTTAGGGTCCATATCTGCAGAGCCTCTTGCTGCAAAGGATTTGGGCTGGTTGCAAAGGCTTTAGGTGAAGTAAGAGACGAGGGTGTTGGAAAGAACTTGGCCTCATAGGCAAGTTTTGTGCACAAACACGTAGGATGCAGCAACCATCTGCAAATGTTCTTTAACTTGGGCTGGATAATGAACCCACGAGGGTCTGGAAAGCTCGGGCCCGCTCAGGGGGAACAGGACCTCCCAGGAGAGATTCCTTCCTCCACAGCAGGTGTGGCACCCACTAACCGAGTGAGTACGGATCACTTGTGCCACATTTCTAGTGCACGCTCTGATGGCGTGCAGGGGGAGAAAAGCAGAAAGAAATACCTCCTTTACAGAGAAAAGTGTAAAGTGATGTCCGCCTCTTTCAGCTGACCTCTTGGCTTCCCTCTTCCCTCATCCCAGGCTACTGGAAATTGACATTTCTAGCAACAAGTTGTCCCACCTCCCACCTGGATTCTTGCACCTCTCAAAACTTCAAAAACTGACAGCATCTAAAAATTATTTAGAAAAATTGTTCGAAGAAGAAAGTGGTATGTTTTATTATCGGTGACCCGATGTAATTAAGTCATTTTCCTGAGGAAAGTATTTTCTTTTGACCAACTCGTACCTTTTCCTCCCCCCAGCCACCAACTGGATTGGTCTGCGGAAGTTACAGGAACTTGACATCTCTGACAATAAACTGACAGAACTCCCTGCTCTTTTCCTGCATTCTTTCAAGACGCTCAGCTGTCTGAATGTCTCCAGGAACAGCCTGAAGGTGTTCCCAGAGCCCTGGGCCTGCCCTTTGGTTAGTATTGTGCTGCAGTGGCTCCCTGTGTTTCCAGGGATCCCAGCATGGTCTCTCCCTTGGAGAGCCTCTCCAGGTACTGGGACCGTCGCTCCAGTATAGCTGAGCCCTGTCACTGGGCAGCAGCAAGGCGAAGTGTCTCTGGCAGGTAGCTCACCTGTCAGCCGGCGCTCCTGCTCCAGGCCCACAAGCCACACAATAACGCCATAGAGCTTATTGCAGTGGCAGCAGGCACCCTGCCCCAGGACAGTGGTTCTGCCCACCAGAGCTGGGCTTGGGGTCCGCTGTTCTAGGAGAACTATAAAACAAGAATAAGAAACGATCTGCATTCACAGCACTGCCAGCTAAAGGATGTTTTTGTTTCTTGGGGAATTGGCTTGTGAAAACAGATGGGGTATGGAACGGCGTAAAGAATATTTGTGCTTTATTGCTGTTGGTTTTCAACCAGGAAATTCTCCCTCCCTCGCGTTATCGTTTCTAATTTGACCGCATGTGTGTGGGAAACCAGCTCCAGCCTGGCTCTGAATTGTCCCATTATTTCCCGCAACAACGGGGTACATGTTCTGGGGTGGACGAGAATGACTGTGAGCCCCCTTTGTCTCCCCAGAAAACCCCACTCCCATCCCTTCCTTGGAGTGGGGCAGGACCACAGAGCCAACAAGAGTTTGTGGCCTCTGAACTCACACAGCTCCTTATGAATGACAGAGCCCTGTTTACAGTGATCTTATTTTTAAGATTAAATTCGCAGTCTTATAGGCGTCTCTGCATTGAAAAAGCTCACTAATACCCATTTCTTTCTCATCAAACTCCTAGAAATGTTGTAAAGCATCCAAAAATGCCCTGGAATCTCTACCAGAAAAAATGTCTGTCTTTTGGAAAAATCACCTTAAGGATGTGGATTTCTCAGAAAACGCCCTGAAAGAGGTTCCCGTAGGACTTTTTCAGCTTGACGTAAGTCCGGTAGCACTTTATTTTTCATGTTCAGCTCGGTGACAGAAATTACTGCACGGTGCAGTGGAATCTGTAGGCCTTTCCTGAGCTTCTGAAACAGTAAGGAAAGGGGATGAAGGAGAGGTTCATAAAAAGTGCGCGTGGTCATAAGCGAAGAGGGGAAGCCGGGGTGGGGGGCCTTAGCGGGTAGAATTATGGGTTTGTTCTGCTGGTCAGCGTTTCATTACTGTCACAGATACCTGAGGCAACCAACTTATAATGAGGAAAAGTTTATTTTGGCTCAGAATTTTGGAGGTTTCAGCCCACAGTCAGTTGCTTTGCGTGTGCCACAGCATCGAGGCAGGCCACATGGGGCTGGTCGAGCAGAGCTGCCCACCTCAGGAGGAGGAAGGAGCAGAGTCCTGCTGTTCCCTTCCTTCCCCGACAACCTGACTTCATCCTCCCGGAGGTTCTAGTACTTCCCAAAGGCACTGTGGGCTGAGTCCAAACTTTGGGGCCTTTGGGGGCCATTGCAGATCCAAAGTAGAGCAGCCACATACATGCACTGCCCAGTGGCCATCGCCCCCCCGACTGCCCTGGCACTGTCCCTTCTCCATCCCTGGGGAGTCCCACTGAGGCAAAAGCACCCTGAACTTGGGGGTGAGCTTTCCCAGAGCCCTGGGCCTACACCCAGCTCCCCCAAAGCTGTCTGTGGGCCTTAGGCAGACTGTGGTCAGATGCATCACACAGAGCCCAGGCCAGTGCCAGATCCAGGGCTGCTGAGTGCCTGCTGGAGTGCCAGGGCAGCCCCCACTCCAGGGGCCAGTGGAGGATGAATAGGCTACACTGCCCAGGCAAAGTGACCATCCGAGGACACACAGCAGCTCAGGCCACCACGATCTCTCCCTGAGGGTCCCCAGAAGGTAGCAAGGTCCCTTCAAAGTGTGGTTGTCAGAGGGACCCTGGAGTCATAAGCCCTGGAGCAAACACTGGCCAAAGAATGCGACCCATGCACTCACTACACTGCCAGAGGAAAAAGGGCCACTCAAGGGAGTGTCAGTCGGCGAGGACCCGTGTCCCTACTGCCCTCAGGACTCTCTCCTGGCCGTGAGTCCACAGCCATGAGGTTCCTGTTCTGAGTGGTTTCCTTGTTTGGCATCACCTTGCAGCCTCTGGCTCTCCCACTACAGAAAAGCGTCACCAGTCCATGGGTACAGTGTGTCCCCCTCGGTGACCTGAGAACAGCCCAGCAGAAGACTGAAAATTCGGCCACCTTGGGGCATCCCAGCAACCCTGTGCCGGCCAGCAGAGGGCACGTGGCTGAGGCAGGTCACCCTCAGTGTCACAGCCTTTCTGCCTCTGTCCCTGAGACCCGAGCCGGCCCAGGAGGTCACCAGGACGTGGCGGAGAGGAGACCCTGTGTGCACCAGGCCAGGCGCTGTTCCCAGGAGAGGCCACCACTAATGTTGACTCTTGGGACTTCTGAACTCTCGGAACTGCTAGGACTCTTTCATTCTGCGGTGGCTCCTCCTGGGTCTGGAGGGAAGTTCTTAGCTAGACACTTTGTTCCGTCTGCCGTGATGAAATCTCCTGTGTATTTTTTTGTTTTGTGTTGTTTGTTTGTGTAGTGTGGGGGTTTGAACCCTGAGTTTTTGCACTGAGCTCTATCCCCAGCCCTTTTTCATATGTTTTATTCTGAGATAGAAAGAATCTCACTCAGTCCCTAAGTTGTCCGGGCTCCACATGCCTGGGACCTCTGAAAAGAGGAATCAGCTACAACCGTTTGACTGCACTCTGTGAGGCAGCTGACTGACTTTTCTACTCAGTCTCCCTCCGTTTCTGTATGTGATGCCATCTTTGCCTCTCTCTCTCTCCAGGCCCTCATGTTCTTGAGGATACAGGGAAACCAGCTGGTGGCCCTGCCTCCTCAGGAGAAGTGGACTTGCAGACAGCTGAAAACCCTGGACCTCTCCAGAAACCAATTTGGCAAGTAAGCAGGGGGGTGTGTCCCTCAGTGTGTGAGAGACCGCAGTAGACAGGCCCGGGGATGTGGGACTGTCTGCCGGGGCTGCAGGACCACGGGCTGGGGGCTCACACAGCAGAGCTGGCTGCTTAAGAGCTGGGGGCTGAAGTCAGAGGTTGAAGCGTCAGCAGGCCTGGTTTCTCCTGGGACCTCTCCCTTGGGGATGCCCTCCTCTCCACGTGTCTGTCTCCCACGTGTGGTAGAGGAATTTCCTCTTCTTATGCAGACCCCAGTCACCTTGGATTAGGGCCCACTCACCTCTTCAAAGACCCTACTTTGGTACATGTTGGGTATTCTTCATCTGAAATGCTCGGTTCCAGGAGTGTTTCAGCGTGGGAATATTTGCACTGATATCGTGCGACACCTTGGGGAGAGGACCCGAGTCTGACACAGATGCATTTACATTGCTGTGCGCCTTGTAGACATAGCCTGACAGCTGCTTTACACAGTATGTTCAGTGTGCTGCGCTTTGACCATGAGCCTTCACAGGGATCAGGTGTGGAACGTCCCACTGTGGCACTCACAGGATCAGGATTTCAGGGCAGTGTGGACCTCAGACTTCTGGATAGCGGTGCTCAACTTTCACCTCCCAGTACAGCTGCGTTCTGAGATCCTGAGGGTTAGGGCTTCAACGTGCACATTCCGGTGACCTTCAGTTTCTAATTTGTAAAGTCTGCTGGACAAGCTTGTCCTTCACGTTAGCTGAAACTAAAATTCTGCACAGAGCCCTGGCCAGTCCCGAGCTCACACGTGTGTACACCGAGGAAAGTTCCCACCCCAAAGCCTCCCAGGAAAGCCGAAAAGGAGGAGGCGTTCCCAGGGCATGGGGAGGGAAGACCAGCCCGGGTCATTGGCCGAGAGAACTGCTGCTGCCGCGGACCCCAGAGAGAGCTTCCTTCCAGCGGTGCCCCGGGCGCCTGCTGCAGGGGAAGGGCCTGAGGACAGAACCGGCAGCCAGGCCCACAGTAGGCCCTTTCTAAACCCTCTTCCCAAAGGACCCTGTGCTCTGCCGGCTGCTCAGGCACAGACCCCTGCTGCGGGAGTTGCCTGCCTTCTCCAGGGCTCCGCCTTACACAGTCTCAGCCCAGATTGTTCTGTCTGTCCTGCTGTTCTCAGATGTTGGCTCTTGTCTCCTTGCAGAAATGAAGATGGACTTAAAACAAAGCGCATTTCCTTTTTCACCACCAGAGGCCGCCAGCGTTCAGGGACAGAGGCAGGTGTGTGCGGGTGTAGGGGGTGCCCGAGGTGGCCGGGGTTGGCTGAGAAACCCACCGGTGGATCGTCTGTTACTCAGGTCGCGTGCGTGTGCCATGCCCGTGTCCCGAGGCCCTGGTTTCCAGTGTGGAGTCCCGGGGATGCTGGTAGCGATGGCCTGCGTGCCGCCCGCTGACCGCTTCCAAACTTGGAATCTAAACCTTAAGCCTGAGCTGTGGGCGGCAGTGCCTCAAGCTGCTCGGGAGGAACCCAGCCTTCCAGTGTATTAGCCCACTAGGGCTGCCATGACAGAAGGCCACGGACAGGGCGGCTTCACAGCTCCTATCGACTCTCACTGTCCCAGAGGCTCCAGCACGGCCTCTGTGAGTGAGGCAAGTGGCCACCCGCTCACTGTGTCCTCTCTTGGTGGGGACACAAGAGCTCTGGACTCTGCCTCTTCATAAGGATGTCGATCACTCTGAGTGCCCACCCTCAAGGGTCTAAACCTGCTTCCCAAAGGCCCTGTCTCCAGACACCACCACACTGGGTTAGGCCCCCACATTTGCATTTGGGGGTCGCACTTCCACCTGTGGCAGAACCAGGTTTCCACCCAGGACTAGGGGGGTCCAGCCCCGGGGCCAGGAGACCCACGCTGCTAAGTCCTTCCTGCCGCACTGTGATGTTTTGCAGTGTCCAGGAGGGGTTGCAGCCCACGGGCAGAGGCTGGCCTGAGATTGCAGGAGGGCCTGAGACAGAACTTTTCCTAGAGCTTTTGTTCTAAGCACTCAACAGCCAGTTCGCCACAGGATATTTCTAGGGAAAGAAGCTTTGTCTTTTATCTTCCATGAGATGCAGGGGAAGGCATGGACCTGTCCCTCACAGCAAGCAGCCAGCTCGCCTTTTTAACCTCAAAGCCAGCACTTCTTTTTCTTTTTGGTCTGTTTTCATCTTTAATGGATATATAGTAATTGTACATACTTAGGAGGTACAACTGACATTTTGGTACTGTGATCAGATCCGGCAGTCGGCGATTCTGTCCCCTCCAGTATTCATCATTCCTTTGTGATGAGAACATTCAAAACCCTCTCTGTTGGCAGTTTGGAAATATACACTCAATTGTTGGCAGCCATATCCTGCTACTGCGCTGCTGAACGTGAGACATCGTTCTTCAGGTCCGGCGGCTCCCTGTTCTCCCTAACCAGCCCTCTCCACCGCATGCCCTTCCTGGGCTCTGGTAGCCCCTGTTCGGTTCTGTTTCTGTGGGGTTGACTCTTTGGTCAAAACTAAGACTTCTGAAGCCAGCTGCATTCGCAGTATTATCCCTCAGGATGTGCTGCCATGAGAGTCCGGGTAGTGTTGGGTGAATAGCTTTCGTCTTTGGCACAGTGGATTCATGTTGGGAAGCAGAATTGGCTTGAGACGGGGATGAGAAAGGTAGCAGAGGCTCAGACACATTTGCAGGAGGAGAAGTAGACTGGCCACCCGCCTGTCACACTGTTTGGCGGGCTGCTATGTGTGCGCGATCGTGGTGCGCATACAGATTGCTCACACGTGACTGTGTCTGTACATGATTGATTGGAAAAGTAACAGCCTATCAGTAGGACAGACGGGAGAATCCAAAACTAAGCCTAAGTAAATACAGCCAGGTGACTGTGTCTGCAGATTCTGCACCTGCAGATTCAACCAACCTTGGATTGAAAATATCAACAAAAAATTGCATCTGTGCTGAATGTGTACAGGCTGCCTCCTTGTTGTGCCCTAAGCAAAATAGTAGAACAATTATTTTCATAGCACGTACATTGTGTTAGGCATTGTAAGTCACCTGAAGTACATGAGAGTGTATATAAGTTCAATGCAAATACTTTGCCGTTTTGTACGGGCCTTGAGCACCCATGGATTTTTATATCTGAGGAGGGCTCTGGGATGCTGAGGGACAGCTGTATAGGAATTTAATGCTGTATGACAAAGCTGGCGTTGCAGTTTATTAGAAAAGAATGTTTTATTTTAATGGCATTGGTATAACTGAGCATCTAGCTACCAGAAGAAACACACAATACAAAACATCCTGCCAGAACGTCAACCACAAGTTTTAGTGTGAGCCAGGCACGGTGATGCACATCTGTAATCCCAGCACTCTGGAAGGCTGAGACAGAAGAATCTCAAATTCAAACCCAGAATGACCAACTCAAAGTAAAAAATTTAAAAGGGTAGAGATGTAGCTTAGTGTAGATTCTGGATTTGATTCCCAATAGCTTTTTTAAAAGTTTTCACGTAGATTGCATGTTTAAGTGAAAAGAAAAAAATAACACTTAAGACAATATATGTATAGTTTGAGAAAGGGGAAGACCTTCAAAAGCTAGCTGGGAGTGACACACGCCTGTAATCCCAGCACTTGGGAGGCTGAAGCAGGAGGATCTCCATGGTTTTGAGGCCAGCCTGAACTACATAGGGAGACTGTCTCAAAAAAAAAAAAGGGTAGCTTGGAAATCCAGAAATCATTTATTAAAAAGAGAAAAATCTTTGTAAAAATTGAAAAGTTTTGTTCACTAAAGTGAATTATAAACAAAGTCATCGTGCAGAGAAGAAAGGTTTGCCATAAGAATTGTTGCAACACAAAGTTGCGACGAGTCCTTAACATACAAAGAATGCTTACAAATGGAATTTTTTAAGAAAAAAGGCAAAGCAATAGGTTAAAAATGAGCAACAGCTATAAACAGTTTGCAGGGAAGGAAGTCTGGACAACCGGGAGCTAGGTGAGGAGGTCCTTCACCACACGAACAGGGAAATCCTAGTGTACCTTGGTAGCTGGGCCTTCTTAACGAGGGGCCTTGGGACCCTAGAAGCGGAGTGCAGATGTGGGGATTTCTCCTGGAAGAAAGGAGAAGCAAGCTCCATCTTCTCACTGGTGCCAAGTGGGGTGGAAGGCATGAAACGGGGAGCCGGGAGGCATCGTGGTCACACAAGCCACTTGCAGGTGTTTGAGCTTTGGGCTGGGTCGACCAGTAATCCACCTGCATTTGGGAAAAGCAGGCCCCTTCCTGGCGTGGAGGGACCCTCACTCGGGACCACCGGTAAAAGGTCAAGGGACACGGTGAAGTATAGCGCAGGAACAGGCCCCGGGATCCTGGACAGTGGCTTTGATGGTCTGGGGAGCCAGGTGAGGGGTCACCCCCTTCCTGGCCAGTGCATGGTGGCTTGGGCTTCTTGATACTTTCAGTTTCCTCTAGAAAGGAGAGGTCCATATTTAAATGAAAAGAAGGCAGGGGTGGGGAGTCTGAGCTTGTGAACGAAAGTAGGGTTCTCTCAGGTCTCTTGACCCTGAGGCAAAGAATTGTGTATAACAGACAACTTGTTTGCAGATGGATAGTAAAATTCTAGAGAGATTTATGTAAATTCATGTGGTCATATTTGTGTCATGGCCTGGTCCAAAAATAATTTGGATGGCCATTTTTACGGTAAAATTCAGACCAGCAGAGTCATAAATAACTTAGAAGTGAATAGTTACAGTTCATAAATACCTCGAGCTGTGTTCTCCCCAGCCCAGTTTTCATCATTTCTGACTAGGCGAATGCGGTGTGTGACAGATGTTGCCTCTCTTCAGGGCCGTGGTCCCTTCTTCTACTCATCCGTCTCCTAAAGAGGCTTCATAAACACCAGGGTGAAACTAAAATCGGAAAGCCCTCAGACCAGCTGTTCAGAATGCTCCCTTTCTCTGGGAAGGGAGCAAACCTTTCTTGTGACGGATGTTCTTTCATGAAAGACGTGATTTAGGGCAGGCTAACGTTGATCAACCCTTTTCACTGAAGGAAGGAGAGAGCCCTTTTTGAACTCAATCTGCATCTGTACTGACATTGTCCCCTAAGCAAATGCTGGAGGATGACTATCTACCTTTATAGCACAGGGTCTAGCACAAAGCCATCTTCAAAAGCCTGCTGTGAGTTTATTTCCACTGGAGCCCCTGCAGCGAGTCCCCTTCACGCTGCGGTTAGCTGTTTTCCAGGCATCCATCTTGGTATTCCATGATCGTCTCTTCTAGAATGTTCTCTGAGGCCCAGTTATCCCACTGCTGTGGATACTACCGCTCCTGTGTGGAGAAAAGCCAGAGCCGAGAGGCAGTTATAATTGAGGGCAACCAAACATGGTTTCGGCCCAACAAAAGAATCCTGGCTTTTTTATCTTCCTTCTCTGGCAGGGGACTGAGGCATTCCTTTTATCTTGAATTCCCTGGGCTCCAGGGTGTGCTACCCCATCCACCCTCCCTACCTCTGAAGGCACTTCAGAGATTCTGCTGAAATCTGAACCTCTGATTCACATTAGTGTTCATTTTCCAGCTCTTTGCCTCATTCTTTCTCAACACAAATGTCCCAGGCCGTGCAGTGGAAACAGCAGATTTGAGGAGCTTTTCATGGTGATCTGATAATTAGCCTAATTAATAAAGTCATTTGAATACTAAATAGCAGATTTTTCAGAGTGCTGTCTTAGGCAACATGAAGACTGAGCCCACAGTATTGTTTTTCTAATTAACTAGCTGCTTTTCATTGAAGAAGTAATTCATGTATATTTGAAAACAAAATTATCCAACAGTACTGAAGGGAGTGGGATGAAAGTACAATCCTGTAGCTCAGACTGTACTCAGGAGACCATGATGGATCCTAGGCTAACAGTCAGGTCTGTGTCTAGCACTCATCTGTAACACATTCAGGTGCCTGTGTGCATTGCGGGGGGTGGGGGTGGGGCTTGTGACAGACGGGTGCTTGTGCGCATGTCTGCAGACGTTTTCTGCTATGCTGATAAACCTAGGACAGTGATTCGGCACCTTGCTTTTTCCACCCACCAGCAGCTCTTGTATGCCTTCACACCCATACATGCGACCACCTGCCTACGCTATGCTTTGGAAAAGTGGCACCGTGTGCCCAGCCCCTGTGGACCTGTACTTGTCCTGTCTCTTTGCTATTGCGAGCAGTGCGCCATCCAGCATCCTCATCGCCGCATCCAGGATGTCTGTAGAATTGGAATCGCTAGGGCAGTGAGATGAGCGTTGAATTCTGAGATGATTGTCAGAGCGCCCTCTGGAGGGTGTCCCAGTTTACACAGCCACTTGGTCTCCATGTGTGATGGTCTAGAATTATTGAAAAATATGCGGTCTGCTTTGCCATTTCTTTGCAGGCTGCGTGCTGGAATTCCCGGCCTTCTTGAGTGAGTCTCTAGAAGTCCTGTGTCTGAATGACAACCACCTGGATGCAGTCCCGCCCTCGGTTTGCCTGCTGAAGAGTTTATCGGAGCTGTACTTGGGAAAGTAAGTCATAGCAAGAGCAGATGCCTGGCCCTGCCCACCACAGGGCAGAATGATCTCCCTTAAGTGTGGCCTGGGGATGCAGAAGCCAGGCAGGAAGAAGCCATCTACTTACCAGCGCCAGTGGTGAGCTTTTCAGACCCAGGAATGTCTGAAGGAGCTGGAGGGAAAGATGGGTGATACACGCTTTGCTTCTTCAAGCAGGTTGTAATGAGAGGACTAATCGCTCCTTCACCCTTCCATTTACTGAGCACCCACTGCATGCCAGATACTTCTGGGGCTTGTAGGCAGTGTACAAAACTTGATGAAAATATAAACTATTATGGTAATCTGTTTTCATTCTGGTACCAAGCATTGAACACAGGACCTTTGTGCTGAGCTACGTTTCCAGCCCTTTCTTATTTTTTATTTCAAGACGATCTCACTAAATTGCTGAGTTGTCCAAGCTAGACTCAGACTTGTGATCCTGCTGCCTCAGCCTCCCAGAGTGCTGGGATGATAGGCATGTACCGCCAGATCCAACTTTATGTTCATCTTAAAGATACTCTGCCTCTTCATGAGAAGGCAGTGGTCATCCTGATGGTAGTGCAACTGGTAAAAGAGACAAGGAGATTTAGGGAGGGGAACCAATTCTAAGCCATGGAGACTTTCAGGACAGAACTGTCATTTGTACCACTGACAATCCAGGGAGAAAGGCTTTGGGCTTAGTTTAAATGGGACTCTTGAAATTGGGGTCCAAGGTGTGGGGCTTGGGTGGAGGCCAGCAGCAGACCTCGCAGTCCACAGAGGCTGATGAGAGTTGTGTGTGTGTGTGTGTGTGTGTATGTGCACCCCAGCAACCCTGGCCTCCGAGAGCTCCCTCCTGAGCTGGGGCAGCTGAGCAACCTCTGGCAGCTGGACGTGGAAGACTTGAGCATCAGCAACGTGCCTGCAGAGATCAGGAAAGAAGGTAGAGCTTCTGCACCCGGGACCTTGCAGCGCCAATGCGCTCTGGACATCCATTAGCAGCGGTGCCCACTCACTCTGTCATTTGCACAGGCCCCAAAGCAATGCTGTCTTTCCTGCGGGCTCAGCTGCGGAAAGCAGAAAAGTGCAAGCTGATGAAGATGATCATCGTGGGTCCCCCGCGCCAGGGCAAGTCTACCCTCCTGGAGATCTTGCAGACCGGCAGGGCCCCCCAGGTGGCGCACAGCGAGGCCACCATCCGGACGACCAAGTGGGAGCTTCAGAGGCCAGCAGGCTCCAAAGCCAAGGTCAAGGATGGTCAGCATGCAGAGCCCCTGGGAGGGAGGGACTTTCCTGGGGGTTTTCTCCCTCCTCCCTGGAGAGTCCAGGGTCTTCTCAGCCTGTTGTTCAAGGTCCAAGATGTTTGCATGGGCCACTGTGTGCTGTGTCTTGTTCCAATCCAGCTCCTGCCAAGGACAGCAGATCAACTCTTTTTGTGACCTTATAGTTTTTCTATGGTAATTAAGTGGAGGCTCTGAGCCAGGCGTTCCTAACCTGGGCTTTCCATGAGATTCCCTTGGGGGGTTTTAAAAGACAGCAGTGCTTAGACCTCACCACCCCCAGCCCCAAAGACTCAGACAAATGGTCTGAGGTGCCTCCCCCACAAGGGCTGAGAACAAAGTACTCCCAGAATCTGTCTCCTAGCAAGAAGGCTGAGAAAGCATTGCTGGGATTATTGCTCTGTCCTCCCTGGTTCTGCTTTCACCCCACGATCTGAAGACTCCATGCCTCACCCTCTTGTCCATTCGGTACCCAGCAAATGGAAATGGGCATTTTCTTGCTCTGTAAGCAGAGGCAAGTCTGGCACAGGGGCTCTCCACCCCAGATGTGGCATGGGGTGGTCAGGAAGATGCAGACAATGTCATCCTTGCCTGCCACATTTGTTTCTGCTGCCTATGGTGACTCCAGGATCCTGGGTCCAAAGAGGAGGTCAGTGTAGGGGCCACGAAGGACCTTTGTTGACACGTGGCATGATTTCTTCCATAGTCCTCAGGCACATGAAAACTAAAAGGTGGGTTTCTCTGCAGGATTTTTCACACAAAACCACCTTCCAAATCAGGGAAATCCAGTTCAAGAAATAAGGCACTTAAACTGAATTGCATTCTAACATGGACTCAGGAACTGGTCCTCTTAAACTGGAGCCCTTGGGGCCCTTGCTCAGCAGTAGTGTGGGGCCTAGCATAGGCAAGGCCCTGATTGCTGTCTCCAACATAAAAACAAACAAACAAACAAAATGGAGTTCTGTGTGTTACGGTTAGAACAATTAGACAAGTAACACCAGGCCCACCCAGAACACTCCGACAGGGAATCTAGCTGACTCATGTCCGAAGGTTCTCTAAATAACCAGAATCTTCTACAAATGCTCTGGCTTCACATTTTTTTTTTTTTTTTTT